GTTACTGCTCGCTATACTACTACTCTTCCTTGCCCTGCTGTTCCTTCTGGGTCTCAGACTGGCTTCCACGTCCCCTCGTTCTCGAGGAACTTGGTGGGTGTGAGGCCTCTTGTGAGTCAGCACGTGGGTGTGTGGATTGAGCCCTCTGGTGAGACGGCGGTTTGTGTTGACGGCGACACTTACTCGCCTCTTGCCACCTTTACTGCCGAGCCGGGCTCTGGTCTCTACACACTTCACACTGGCCCTGGTGGGCAGCAGTAGCAGCAGCAGCAGCAGCAGCAGCAGCAGCAGCAGCAGCAGCAACAGCAGCAGCAGCAGCAGCAGCAGCAGCAGCAGCAGCAGCAGCAGCAGCAGCAGCAGTGGCAGCAGCAGCAGCAGCGACTCCTACCCCCGGCCCCGGTTACTTCCCCCAGTCTGGTCCCTGCGTCTCACCAGGTTGCTGCGTCCCCCTAGGTAGCTCTGTCTGGTCAGGTTCCCGTGTCTGGTCCAGTAACTGCGTCGTGCTCCTACCGGTCGCTTGCACACCCCACAGTTCTGTGGCACCACCGGACGGGGCACCCGTCCCTCCCTCGTCTGCGCGCTATGTCTCGTCAGCGTCTTGTCTTAGGCCTCCCGCGTGTCTTGCCGTCGCTGCCGCCTTCGCTTGCACCGCTGTGCGGTCCCTGCGTCGAGGGTCGGCTGCGCGCCACCCCTCACTCCTCCTCCCTTCGTCCGGCCACCGAGCCTTTTGAGACGCTCCACTTGGACGTCTGGGGCCCCGCCCCTCGCCTTGGCCCTGAGCGCGAGCGTTTCTTTTTTGTGGTCGTTGACGACTACTCCCGCTACACCACAGTGTTCCCCCTGGCGAAGAAGTCTGAGGTGACTTCTACGCTGATCAGGTGGTTGCTTACTACTGAGGGCACTCGTGGTCGTCGTGTCAGCTGTCTTCACTCTGACCGTGGGGGTGAGTTTCGCTCCGGCATTCTCGCTGGATTCTGTCGCGAGCAGGGCATTCGTCAGACCTGGACGCTTCCAGAGTCCCCACAGCAGAATGGGGTTGCTGAGCGCCGCATAGGCTTGGTCATGGAGATCGCCCGCACCTCCTTGACTCACGCCCGTGCCCCCCATTTTCTGTGGCCCTACGCGGTAAGGTACGCCGCTCACCAGCTGAACCGCTGGCCACGCGTCTCTCGGCCAGAGGCTTCACCGACCAGTCTTTGGACCGGGTCCTCTGGTGTTGCGTCGAGGTTTCGTGTCTGGGGTTGCTTGGCTCTTGTCCGCGACACTTCCGCGGACAAGCTCTCGCCTCGCGCCGTTCCCTGTGTCTTCCTTGGTTTCCCTGAGGACTCCTCTGACTTCACCTTTTACCACCCTCCCTCTCACCGGTTCTTTGACTCCCGTGACGTCCGTTTCGAGGAGTCCACCCCCTTCTACGTCAGGTACCCCAGTCGAGGTCTCCCGGTTCCTCCTCCCCCTCTCTTCCAGACTTCCGCTCCCCCTCCTGCTCCCCCGGTACAGCCTTCCCCCCCTGGTCCCGCCCCGTCAGGTGTGTCCCAGGCTACCCCTCCCCCCTCGGTAGCCCCTCAGGTGCAGCCTCCTTCCCCGCAGTCCTCCTCGCACCCTGCTGCAGACCCTGCGGGAGCCGGTGCTCGTGGAGAGGGCCCTACAGGTGCTAGCTCTGGGGGTGCTGGAGTTGGAGCTGAGCCCGTGGCTGGAGAGAGAGGAGAGAGAGTTGCAGCGGCTGGAGGAGCAGTAGCAGCAGCAGCAGGAGCAGCAGCAGCAGCCGCCGCCGCCGTCGCAGCAGCAGCAGCAGCAGCAGCAGCAACAGCAGCAGCCGCCGCCTCCTCCTCCTGTCTCCGGTCTTCGGGCCCTCGGTCTCCCCTCTCGCTCTCCTTCCTCCTCCCCCTCTCCTCCCGTCTCGGGTCCTCCGCTTCCTCCTCCTGACCCCTCCCCGACTGTTTTCCCTCGTTCTTAGCCTCCGTTGTCCCCTCCTCCTTCTCAGACTTGGGCCTCTCGTCGCTCCCCTCGTGCTCGTCCCTCGTCTCCTGTTCTCGTTACTGACCTTCGTACTGCCCTCTTTCGTTCTAGTCCGCCTCGTTCGTCTCCGTCTCTCCTTCCGTCTCCTCCTGAGTCGGCCTTCACTGCTTCTCTCTCTACTCCTGTCACTGACTACTACCGCACGTACCGTCCTGTTCTCTCTCGTGTTCTCGCCTCTCTTGTTACCGACCCTCGTGCCTCTATCTCCTCTGTCTCCGCCCTTACTGCCGCAGTCACTGAGTTTGCCTCCACTCGCCGCCTTGACTACGCCACCGGTCTTGTGGCTGCTCCTCCTACCAGTCCTCTGGCCGTCGGGGGTGAGTCTGCCCTTGGCTGTGACGCCCTAGAGGACAGGCAGTTTGAGCTAGAGTTCCTGGCAGCCGCTTCCCCACATCTCTGTGCCATGCTGCTCGCCCCTGAGGGAGACCCCGACGCCCTTGACATACCGACTCCTCGCACTTACGCTGAGGCAGTGTCAGGGCCTTGGGCCTCTCAGTGGAGAGCTGCCATGGACGCAGAGATGGCCTCCTACAGATCCACAGGCACCTACGTCGATGAGGTTCCCCCCCCTGGGGCGAACGTAGTCGATGGCATGTGGATCTACAGGGTGAAGCGGCCACCGGGATCTCCTCCGGTCTTCAAGGCGCGCTACGTGGCTAGAGGTTTCAATCAGCGCGAGGGAGTTGACTTCTTTCAGACCTTCGCGCCTACCCCGAAGATGACCACTCTTCGGGTGTTACTGCACGTAGCAGCACAGAGAGACTACGAGTTACACTCTCTCGACTTCTCCACTGCTTTCCTTCAGGGTAGCTTACACGAGGAGGTCTGGCTGCGTCGTCCCTCTGCCTTCACTGACACTTTTTCTCCTGGGACCCAGTGGAGGCTGAGGCGACCTGTCTACGGTCTTCGTCAGGCTCCTCGTGAGTGGCACGACACTCTTCGTTCTACCCTCTCTGACCTTGGTTTCCAGCCGTCTTCTGCCGACCCGTCGCTGTTCGTTCGTCGTGGCTCCACACCGTTCTTTGTTCTGGTCTACGTCGACGACCTGGTTTTTGCCACTGCTGACAGGGTTGCCTTGGCAGACGTGAAGTCCGAACTGCAGAAGAGACACACGTGCACTGACCTTGGTGAGCTGCGCCACTACCTTGGCCTGCAGATCACCAGGGACAGAGCTGCTCGCACCATTACACTCTCACAGTCACACATGGTGCAGCAGGTCCTTCAGCGGTTCGAGCTTCAGCACTCCACAGTACAGCGCACACCTCTTGCTGTTTACCACAGACTTACTGGACCCTTTCCTGACGAGCCGTTTGAGTCTAGTGGTCCCTACGCAAATCTGGTGGGCTGCCTCGTGTACCTGATGACTTGCACTTGCCCGGACCTCGCCTTCCCTCCCGCATCCTTGCTGGCTTTGTTGCGCCAGGGAGACACCGTCCCGTTCACTGGACGGCAGCTGTGAGGGTGGCGAAGTACCTAGCGACGACATCAGGCGTGGGGCTATTTCTTGGAGGGCAGCAGCCTGTCGTACTTACTGGTCACTGTGACTCTTCTTTCGCTGACGACGCTGAGACTCATAGGTCTACTCAGGGGTACTGTTTCGGCTTGGGTTCTGGAGCTGTTTCGTGGCGGTCCACGCGCTCCTCTTCGGTCTCGACCTCTACAGCTGAGGCTGAGATCTACGCTGGTGCCATGGCGGCACAGGAGCTGCGTTGGTTGACCTTCTTGCTCGCCGACCTTGGTGAGCGGCCGAGCTCTGCACCGACCTTGTTCACTGACAACAAGGCGTCGATTCTCCTTTGTCGAGAGTCGCGACTGGAGAGCAGAGTGAAGCACATTAACGTCAGGTACTTTCTTCTACGAGAGTTGCAGAGACGTGGACAGGCTCGCTTCGAGTTTGTGGAGTCCGAGGCCAACACTGCAGACATCTTCACCAAGGCGCTTCCGCCTTGTGACCACCAGAGGTGTTGTGTGCAGTTAGGCCTTGTTGACACAGTTTCTAGTCGTGTATAGGCTTGAGTCTACTGTTTCCTTTGCTTGTACTCTTGCTATACACACTTGTGAACTCTCGAACTGGCCTTGTGGCCCCTGCTGCTTGTGCTCAGAGTGTGTGGTGACGTTGTGATCCACCCTGAGCTTTGTTTCTTTGTGACTGGTCTTGTGACCGTACACTTTTGGTTTTGCTTGACACCCCTCACTTAGGCTATGGGGATGTGTCAAATGTTGTAGCATGTAGTGAGGTTTGTCTTAGGGGGTACATATGTTAGGGTTTGTTATATGTACCCCAACCCACATCAATGAACCAACACTTTCATTCTTGACAGTTTTGTACTCCAAAACGGGTGTTTAGCCCGATTCGACTCTGCCCATTCCTACATTACAAACAGCTTCGCTTTCAAAATACAAAATTTTGAAAAGCGTTACAGCTTTTTTAAAATGTTCATATCTAAAAACACGCTCTTAGTAAGGGTCATAAGGGTATTTTACCATGATAACCAGAGGCTTTCCAGGCGAGTCTGACAGAGTTGAACCTGATCAGAGGCTGCAGGAACACACTCTTACAGCAGCAAGTGATTAGAAAGAACTGGTGACTAAAAATGTCAAGACATAAATTTGGGATACCCTTGGGTCCTCTACACAGTGTCTTCCGTATATAATGCTTGCAACTTGCAACAAGCTTTGCAGTCATTGGTCTATCGAATCACCCAATAAACGCCACAACCTGACAACTCCTACCTAATGTCATTCCCTTCCTCCTCAGAGACACATGTGTCCTAGAAAAACATAGGAGAACGTATGTGCTAAGGCAGTGGTAGGCTTGTATTTTGAGCATCTCCTATTCCGACAGCATGTTTCTAACATCTCGTGCACAGCAGCAGTTGCAGCTCCTTTCCTCTCCTGCTCCCACCTCGCAACTCCCGTCCTCTTACGTCTGTCCATCTGTCAATCACGTGTCAAGTTGCGCATCTGCCCTTCAACGTCCCCTTCTACTTCCCCCCGCGGGTCATGTTGGCCATCTGGCCGCGCACAGCCCCCTGGGGGAACGCGGAGGTGGCGATGAGAGCGTGGAAGGAGGCGGGGGCAGCGAGAATGGTGCTCACAGCCGCAGCCACAGAGCCGCCCGCAGCGGCGGAGAGGGACGACGCGTTGCCCCACACGCCCCTGGCGCCGTAGCTGAAGCGCGCAGCCGCAGGGGGGGCAGCAGCGGTGGCGTTGGAGGCGCGATGGAAGGGGCGGGTGGTGTTGGTCCAGGCGGAGGCGGGGAAGGCGAGCAGCAGGAGGGCAGAGGCGGAGGCGGCGGGGCCTGCGTGGATGGAGGCGGCGGTGGGAGGGGAGGGGGAGGAGAGGTGCGCGAGGGAGAGCGAGTAGTGCATGTCCATGTCCGTGGCCGTCCTGGGATGGGGGGGAGAGGAAGGGGGTGAGGTGAGAGGGTCAACACAGGAGGGTCAACACAGGAGGGTCAACACAGAGGAGTGCGGGCAGCAGAGGAGCGAGTTGCAAGTGCAGAGAGAGGAGGGCACGGAAGCAAGTGAGGAATGGAGTGAACTGCAGAGCCAACGCTAGGAGAGAAAGTGAAGGCGAGAGAGAGCGGCGCTCTTGACAAGCGTGAGCTCACTTGACAAGGGGATGGGGAAGGGGGGTGTGAGGAGGAGAGGGGGGCGAGGATGTAAGGAAGGGTCAACACAGGAGGGCTGAGATGGAGCGTGGGCAGCAGAGGAGCGAGTTGCAAGTGCAAAGAAAGGCGGGCTCAGAAGCAAGTGAAGGGATAAGCAGAGCCAACGCCAGGCAAAAGAGAAGGAGAGGCAGAGCGGCACTGACTTGACAAGCGTGAGCTCCAGGCGGCCCGTGGCATTGGGCATGCCTGCTGACCCCACCATCTGCTCGCCACTCATCCGCACGCCCACCACACCTGCCATGGGAAAGCAAGCAAGGCGTCAAGTCCACCGGCTTGCCGCAGGCTGCAGCCATGAATGAACATAAGAAGTCAGCAGCTGTCGTGCAATCCTACTCACCAATCACGCTGCCTCCTCGCCCGCCACGCCCGCCACCAGCAGGGCCGCCCTCCCTGCGCCCGCCACCACCACCACGGCCACCACCAGCACCACCACGGCCACCACCAGCAGCACCACCAGCAGCACCACCAGCAGCACCAGCAGCACCACCACCAGCACCACCAGCAGCACCAGCAGCACCACCACCACGGCCGCCAGCGCCAGCAGCACCACCCCGCTGCGGCCTGCCCCGGCCGTCAGTGCCGTTCAAAGCAGCCCTGCGAGTGCCGTTCACGCTGTGGGCCGCCCCACTGCCGTCCACCCGCCCGCCCACCCTCGTGCCATTCACGTGCCTCGTGCCATTCACATGCCTCGTGCCATTCACGTGCCCCTTTCCTCCCGCCACACGAGTTCCGTTCGCTGCCACGTGGCCGTCAAACGACTTCTGCTGCTTCACGCCCATCGTCGTCTGCTGCTGCCCCTGCCGCTTGCCGCCAGCCGTCTGCACTGCCGGCTGCTGCGATTCGGAGCGGGCGGGTTTCTTTCCAGACGCCGATCCAGTGGCACCCGAGCTGCCCGCCCGCTTATTGGTGGTAGCAGCCTTGTCCCTCGCCTCGCCTGCCGTCGCCTGCGAGCGGGTCTTGCTGGCGGCTTCCGCGAGGACTGAAGGGACGGGAAGGCGGTGCGGGAGGATGAAGGACGAGGAAAGGGTCGGAATCAAATCAAATCCTCGAAATGATACTCGTACAATTCGTACTCCAAAACCCAAGGTGACAATTTCACAGACAGGGTGCGAGGATTGGTGGATTCGTGGGAACGGGCATCTTGACGGGACGACTGAACGAACGCCATGACGAGATGAAGCGACGAGAGAATGGGACTCACTGGCCGTGGCGACGAGCGCTAGCAGCGCGAGAAGCAGGAAGCGCCGCGAGGAAGCCATGATGTCGCCTGGCGTGAAGTCGGTGAAGCGAAAGCTGGAAGGTGGGAGCGGAGCAATACAAACAAGAGCGTCTCAGGTGCTGATGCTAACCCAAGTCGAAATGTCGGCCGAGTATATTCGAGAGCGTCGAAGCACGGTACTGAGAGAGAGCAGTGAGGATTATCAGTAGCCAGTTCGAGTGGATGATGAGAGGATCCATCGCGCCTCTGCTTTTATAGAAGGTTAGATCCGGACGAACGTGGTTCGGCGTCGAATCGCCTTGCCTGCGATCAATTTCGAGACATTCCGTGCCGCGAATGTGAAATGCGGTACGGAGCCACCGACAGATGAGGAGCCTAACTCAGTAGTCACTGGCCTTGACCACTGCTTACAGATCAGATAACACCCGACACAACTAACTCCCCTGGAAATTTATGGCGGGAAGAGAGGTGTGCGCTGGATGAGGGAATACGAGCTGCGCTGGATGAGGGAACACAAGCTTGACTGGTCCACGCGGGTGTGACTTGGGAGCACGTACGCCGTACGGGAAGGATTCGTTATAGCGAGAAAAACTAGATACATAACGGATTCATTCACAGTGAATTGTTCGGCTATCAAGTGAGACAGCTAGGATTGCATTATCAACGAAACGAATGAAAATGCAAGGGAAGGCATGAACACAGTGTTTTTTATCCTTTTACACTGTAAATAAGGGTGGTTTCTGTTGAAGTATAAAGATAATTACACTTGGCATTCCCGTAGGTGCAGCAGTATCGCATCACTCTCTGTCGAAGCAGCAACAACCGTAGTATCGGATAAGCCCGTATCAAGGGCAGGAAGGTCAACAGTCACAAGAAGTCAACTGTCGCGACTGTTGACCATCTGGACCGACGCTTGACTCACCATCGAGGAATGGCAACAGGCGTAACCGTATATACAGGTTACATGCAGCGACTCGGTAACAAGAAAGTAGTGCAACAGTCAGAGTCATTGTAGAAATGTAAGACAGTTATACAAGGGAATGTACCCCTCAGAGTACATGGCTTGTTAGGAACTATTTATTATGTGTGTAATTTGTGTTTTAATCAACTTGGTCATTTACATTCACTATGACCGGAGTTCCCACAACAAGACTTACGCTACCAAACTCTTCTAAGGCATTTCCTATCCTATCCAAGGTCCTCACTCTAACATGATATGAGAGCTAGTTTGGATTATAGGAACTTCTAAAGGGGCTTCCAACAAGCTTCTTTATAACTTAATCTCAACATCAAGATCAACAACGTTATCAAGGGCATCAACATGCCAAGCGCAGACTGCGGAGAGGCTGGAGAAAATCCAGTGCAACCCTCCACCAATGTCGCTTCCACTACAACGACTGTGGATACAGCGCTCCTCGAGCAGCTGATCTCCCGCATCAGCGCACTGGAGAGCCATCAGCCGATGAGCATCGACGGCTCCAGCTACGCCCGCAAGCCTCCCGATCCTCAAGGAGCTGGATCTGAGCGATCCTTCACCTTTGACAACCGCGGAGCTCAAGGATCTGCTCAAGCACAACAAACACATTACGAGGCAATGGCATCAATGCAGAGCAAGTTCCGTTCAACATCGAAGCTTAGGACAACCAAACCCTTTGACGGGCAAGACTTCTACACCTGGAGCTTCGAATTCGAGCTACTAGCTTAGGGCGCTCAGATCTGGATGTACTACGACGGTTCGTATCCCTTCTCAGCTAACGGCTCACCTCAGGAGAAGACGCAGTACTATAACGAATCGGCCTTCACCGTCTTGATTCGGAACCTGTCGCCCGAAGAACAGCTAAGCATTCGCCCCTTCAAAAACGAGTGGGCACCCGCGCAACAGTCCTGGGAGCACCTGCGCACCTGCCACATGGCAACAGATTCGGTGACACTTAGTCGTCTGCTCAACCAGCTGAACAATGTCAAGATGTTACCCGGCGAGAAGGTCGGACCATACATCAACCGCTGCAGGAGCCTGAGAGATCAGTTCAGGAAAAGTGGCGGCAACTTCCCTGACGACATGTTCGTCACAATCATCCTCGCTGGATTGAGCCCGGATTGGCGCCAGTGCCAAGGGACTCTCAGTGAAACCGCCCTTTGCTCCACGCTCCTTTCTGAACAGAAGGAGATCGACCTGTACAACGAAATAGGCAACAAGAAGGAGAAAATCGCCTTTTACGCACAAGCGCCACCGGACAAGAAACGACTTTTCTGCAAGTACTGCAAGAAGACAGGGCACATGATCCAAGACAGCTGGAAGCTGAATGGTAACAACAACAACCAGAAGGGTGCCGCTACTCACCAGCAAGGAGGAGCCCCAGCGCGCAACCAAACTGTGTCACCGCCAGCCGTCGCCAGCACATCTCAAGCTCCGGCACGCATCTCTGCGAACACAAACGACAAGGGCAAATGTAAGGTTTTGACCTGCATGGTGCGACGAGGGCCACCTCGCCCTAACCGACAGTACCGCTTCACTGGGAGGACATGTTCGCAGACCCACCTCAGGAGCGGCCCGAAGGATCGGTCGAAGATGAGGAAGAAAACGACCCAATGTACGACGAGCTGACAGTCGGACGAATGGAGTACGACTGGGAGATGCCGCAGTGGATCCAAGAATCGCCACCTGCGCGCATAGCATACGATGAAGAAGGGTGTTACTACGATTACAAAAACGATCACGATATGGAGCATCACATAACTCCGAAACTCGCCAACCTCGCCAAGGCGAAGAAAGAAGTCAACACGTGGTACCTGGACAGTTGCTGCGGTCAACACATGGTGTCGTCAGACGTCTTCATCCTCAACAGGGAAGAACTCTTCAACGAGGTAGAGATTACTGTTGCCAACAGCCAAACCATCCACGCCAGAAGCCGCGGACAAGTCCAGCTGGAGTCCCACGATACCGGCTACTACATCCATATAAGCGACGTTCTCATCGTGCCGGAACTCCGGTACAACCTCTTGTCCCTCCACCAGCTCATGAAGTGCGGAGTCGGCCTGCAAACAACAGAAGACGAGATGCACTTAATATACAACGGCATCTTCATCGGAAAAGCGAAAAGTGTGGAAGGAGTATTTGTGGTCGACTTCGAGTCACCCAAAACCTCCGGCGACACCGAGCACAATCTCGTCCTTATCCACCGGGCCACCCGTCCCCACCGCGGTGGAGCCACCCAAAAGAAACCGAATATCAGCAACCAGTCCTCGACGGCACCTTCCGCGCCCTTGCCGTACCAGTCGCTTCGACAACGAACCCTGCAGATACAGGACCACAAGCAGTGGAAGAAGGAGAGGAGATCACGTCAGAAACGGCAGTCGGAACACCCGAACCATCAAGCACGGAAGCTACGCGAACCTTCTGGCCGCCTGTTGAGTGTCCCACCGGTTGGACCACCACAGAGGGCTGGGACGCTGTGGATGTTCGCTGGGTCATGGAGAACACCGCGCTAGGAGAAGCCATCGCAGCCGATTCTGGATGGGGAAACATTGCCGGAGGACCTGCAGTAGAGGAAGCAGCGACAGAAGAACCAGAAATCACTGAGGAGGCACCAGAAGCAGAGGAGGAAGAGTCACTAACGGAATACGGACCTCACCTGCTCCCCATCACAACGGACGGCAGGGATTACCTTCGCCTCGAGACAAGGGGAGTGGCGATCGGCAATACCGATTTCGAGAAAGGAGCAATTACGCAACCTGACGATTGTCGCGCACGAACCTCGCCTCCGCTTCCCGAAAGGCCACTGGAGCTGCCGACAACGATCGACACCATCACCATCGGCGACACCAGCGGGACGTATCATGGTGCGACAATCCGGGCAGCGGCAGTACAAGTCATTGTGCCCGACAAACCTGCGGATGAAACGAGAAAAGAAACAGCAGAGGAGATACTGGGACGGGAGAAGGAGCTGTACGCGCGCACTAAGGGATACCGGGCCGACGGAGACATCTGGCATCAACGCATGGGACACCCATGTGAAGAATGAGGAAATGATTGACTAAGGAATGTGAAGGGTACAAGTATGAAACCCTAGGAAACCATACCTCTTAGTGTCTACCCCACTACAGCCTAGATAGACTATAGCATATAAGTTTGACACACCCCCACAGGCAAAGTGGGGGAGAACAAGGGGTCACAAGACCAGTCAAGCAAAGCAAAGCAAGCTCAGGGTGGATCACAACGTCACCACACAGTCCGAGCACAGGTTCAAGGCCACAAGGCCAGTTCACATGCAGGGTTATATATATAACGGTGAACAAGCAAGTGCAGGTATAGATAGATCACAGTACAAGCAAGGTCAAGAAGTGAGCAAGTGAGGCCAAGTAGGCACAAGACCTAGCATCGTACAAAAGCGCTGATGATCACAAGGCTGAAGTGCCTTGGTAAAGATATCAGCAGTGTTGGCCTGAGAGGCCACGTAAGCAAGGCGCAGCTGACCACGCTGCTGCAGCTCACGAGCAAGGAAGTAGCGAAGAGCAATGTGCTTCGTTCTGTGCTCCAGTCTGTGCTCCCGACACAAGGCCAGCATGGCCTTGTTGTCTACGTACAGAACTGGAGGAGAACGAGGCGGCTCTCCCAGGTCGGTCAGCTGCGTAACTCCTGTGCAGCCATGGCCCCTGCGTAGATCTCGGCCTCACAGCTGGAGCCGAGAACTGAAGACGAGCGGGTAGACCGCCACGAAACAGAGCCGGAACCAAGGCTGAAGGTGTAACCCTGTGACGACCGCTGCGTAGCCAAGTCGTCAGCCCAAGAAGCGTCTGCGTGACCAGTGAGGACCACTGAATTCCGCCCTCCAAGCACTAGCCCCATGCCCGAAGTACTGCACAAGTAGCGCAACACCCTCTTCGCAGCAGCCATGTGCTCTGGTCGGTGTCTCCTAGGAGCAACATAGCGTGCCAAGATGCTAAGAGGGTATGCTAGGTCAGGACGAGTGCAAGTCATCAGGTACATGAGGCAGCCAACAAGCTCTGGGTACGGGCCACTCGGCTCTACGGACTCATCCGAAGGCAGAGCTGAGAGCGAGTGGCGAGTAGACAG